CTTTTCCTTTTCCTTTTCCTTTTCCTTTTCCTTTTCCTTTTCCTTTTTTTAAACCAACAAAAGCATTGTCTTCTAGAAAGCCAATTGATCTCCTTTTCTCCTTGAGAATGTGTCAGATGTTCCTGTGGACCCTAGTACAGCTCAGCCCAGGTCTTCAATGCAGCTGAGGACTATTTGGCAGACCTTTAGATGTAATGCAAAAATCAGCCAGCACTACTACTCAGTTTGCCCTTTTGCAGGGCTGGGTAATGATTTGGACAAGCAAAGTGTGTATATCAGTATTACCGTGCCTTGGAGAAATACTACTTGGAAACACTCCTACACAAACAGCTCATACCTTGTGTCTGACTGCGACCAGGAGTCAGCAAAGTTTGAGAGTGAAGCAATGGAGGCTGGGTGGTTCTTGGCTCAGTCTGCTCTACATGGCAGCCACTGTAACTGAGCTGCATGTGGGTTGTTGCAAATTTTAGATGATACGAGCTAACATTAATAAGTCATTACCCCATGTCCCTTTCCCCAGCCATCTGAAGGATCAAATGAGTAATTGTGACTCATCTGATACTTCTGAGGGATCAGGTTTTTTGGGAATATTTCTAAGTTGGTGTTAGTCCATCAGAGTCTTTTCCTCACCTCTGTGCCAGAGAGTCTTTAAGCAAGCCCGTTTTAGCTGGGCTACATGCACTTATTTGTGTTTTTTGTGTACAGTGAGGCAGAGTGAAACAAAGGAATGCTGAGTTCCAAATTAAATGTGGTTATCCACTTGACAGGATATAGAATAAACAGGACAGAATATAGAAGGGCAATATAATAGGAAAACTTCTAGCTGAATTGATTTTTTAAATAAAGAGGGAAAAAAATACTACAGAAAAAAAAATACTAGCTCTAACACTGAGCTAGAATTAACCATGAAGAAGAATCAAGAGGAGCGTCAGGAGATGTCCCTAAGGTCCAGCTGACAAGGAAGAAGGCACAGCAGCAGCCAAGTGTGCCAGTGGCTGAGTTTCTTACAGGCAACATCATACTGTTTGTGCCTAATGTCTTTGTCATATGAATAGAAAAAGTGACCAGGGCAGACACAAAACCCTGGGAAGGGAAAGATGAAAACAGTAGAAAATCTGCAGCCAAAAATAACCCCCCCCAAAACTGAAAAACAATGGGAGTTCAAACCCAGCTACTGTAACAATCAGGAGAAACTTTTTTTTTTTTTTTTTTTTTGCCTAGAGGGATGGCTGATATAATTCATTTCTCAACCTGCTAGCCAGAGTGAGCAGATTTCCACAGCATGAGTGCTCAAGCATGCATGCTGAGCCTGCTGAGGAAAATGAACAACCTCTCCACATTGGATTTGTCTGTACCTTCCCATAAAACTGTCCTTGACAGCACTAGGAAATGTCCTAGGTAAATGTGCATCCTGCTGTGGCTTTTTGTTTATTTGTTTGTTTGTTTTAATAAAATGCACACTTTTGAATAAACCTAGTAGAAAACTGAGACTTATCAGGCAAAATGACAGAGTATTCCATAGGGCTTGCTTATGCTAACCATCCTCTAAAAATACCAGTGCTTCCATGCCTCAAGGTGTCATTGATGGTAATGGAAACCATATCTTCTGTCTGTAACCAGGTATTATTAATGATTTAATCTCTATTATTTCAAATAAGCAGGGAAGTTGCTAAACCTCCACCCCCTCAAACATCACAGATTTTGTTTAAATCTCTCCCAGATTGGCCTTAATTTCTTTCTACATCGGAAAAGAATAGTTTACACGGACAGACCATGCATAAAGCCCCAAACCTGGAAATGTTAGGACATGGCCCTGTCCCAGAGGACAGCAGGAGCATGAATGAATGAAATAATGGAATACAAATATGGCAAAACATTTATTTCAATATTAATGTGTTTTTGTTGTTGTTGTTTTTAATTTATTTTAAAAGGACTTAAATTCCCTGCATGCTTGCTTGTCTATTCCTCTGTAGCCATAGACCCAGCAGCACTCTTTTGGCAGCCAGAACTGTCCCACTGACACTGTCACAGAGATGCAGTGCAGAGCTGTGCATGTACACCGGCCTCAGACCATGAGCTCGGATGAATGAGAGAGACCGCAGGGAGAGCACACTCAGCCTCAGCATCAACCAGCACATCGTATAGTGAAGCCACTGCTGTGGCTGAAGGGAGGTTTTGCTTTATGTATGGATTTAAGGAATGCAAAAGGATCTAGAGAAAAATTATCGTCTGGATAAGGTGTTCATCAAATATTTTTCCCTGAGTGTTTTTCGCTCCCCTATTTCTTTAAATCTTACAGATCAATCAAGATACAGTTAGGAAATCTAATTAAATGCCTGTGGTAATAAGAATGACCTTCCTCTATCCTGTCTTATTCTAGATTGAGGTTTTCTGGGAAAAAACAGAGTTCTGGTGTAAACAAAGCATCTCTGTCTATTACAGTGAAATTTTGTTTGCTTTTGAACCCAATCTGCCCTTCCTCTCAGTCAATTTTATTTTATTTCATGGTTTCGTGTATCATTTTTTTCATCCCTCTTCTATGTAACACTCAAGGAAATGAGAAGCCTTAAATAATCAAACAGTGAAAATCAAGTATGGAAAAATTAAAAAGCAGCTACTCAAGCTACTTTGCAAAACTGACTGATGGCAGTCATGGAAATCTGCAGTGTTTGAATTCTGCTCAGGTCAGCATCAGGCAAAACTCATTATTTTCTGGAGATTGTATTGTGGCCTATAGGATATAGATGGATGTTTTCTTCTTTTGGAATGGTTTTATTTCTCCAGCTCTCTGTGGGCTAGATATTAGAACTATGTACATCTCATAGAGATTTTGGCTCACTTATGAAATATGGAATAATTGCTCACAGGGCTGGAAGGATTTCAAACTATCAGACCTTAAGATTGCTTTTGATATTGTATGTGGGAAAAAAAACCTGTTGTAAGTCACTTTTAAGAAGTTTGAACTGCTGGGGATCAGTTAGCCTTCCTTTCCTTAATGAGCCACCACAAACTGCAGAAGAATGGCACAGTCAGTCAGTTCTAATGGGGAAGAGCTGGAGCATTTACAGTGGCCAACCCATTGCTCTGGTCATGCCATGTTTCTAGACAGCACTTTTCAGAGAAATCTTCTTTTGTCATTTCTTGTGGCTGAGGAAATTCCCCTACCCTCTTCCTTTCTTCTTACGATACAGTGGGTGTTATTTTGCCTCAGGAAAATACCATAGCTTTCTTGTGGTTGTATTATGTTTTAATTTTTCCCCAAATGAAAACAAGTTTGAACTCCAGAAATCTTGATCAGCACTGAGAAGAGCCCCAGAAATACCTCAAAAGAAAATGGCATTGCTGAAACACCAAAAGTGGATACACTGCTAGTTTTCTGAAGACTGGATGAAGACTCGAAGGGTCAAATGCTCATTCTTCTCTGTTCAGCTTTCTTCTACTCTGAGCTGTTAAAAAAAGATACTCCATGAAACAAGCTGTGTCAATAATTTTGGATCAAATGTCAGAACTATAGTTGCTGGAAAATACCCACTTTTCCTGACTGCAAAGGCGGAGAGGGCAGGGAAGGAGCACCCACTAACACTGAGTGGGTGCTATGTAAGAACTCACCGCTGATAGGATGCTATAAATGATCTGCAACATATTTTTGCCTCATGCCAGGGGTGTGGGCAGCTTTGAAGGTACACTGAGGGCTGTGACCTGAGACTTGAAAATTCTTAGGCTGGGCAAGAAGAAGATTTAAGCTGCTACATCTGCAAACTTATCAGTATGATTTACTTGTTCCCTGATGTACCCTGGTCTGATTTACCACTTGTTATATTGCACTTGTGTTTAAAGGCAAGGACAATTACAAGCATGTTATGTTTGTAAAAGGCCCAGAGGAGCAGTGCTGGTCCATGCATTTGCTCCTCTGCATACTGTGTTACTCTACCTTTATAGTACTCCTTCAGGAAGATCTGCAGTGAAAGAACTTATATGATCTCCCAAGGGGCCACCTCACAGATATTTAAATATTACTGTATGCTGTTCAGCTTTCCAAATTTTAACCACTAGAAAATTTCTGCATTTCTTTCCTGACTGCACTAATAAAAAACTTATCACTGGGTGAGTATATGGCAGTTTAATCGAAACCAGTAAAGTCCGTTAAAGCGTGAAGTACCTGTAGGACTTGTTTAAAGTGCCTGGTACATCTGGCAGGTCACCAAGTTGATGAAAGCCTTTGGTATTTCGTGGCAGTCACAATAAAGAATCTCTGAGGGGCTTGGTTTGGCTCAGATTCTTATTTTCCTTCTCAATTTTTATGCTTTTTGATTGTAGCTAAATGCAGTCAAAATGGAGTTTTATGCTTATTTCAGATATAATTACGAAGCCATGATTTTGGCACTTTTTCTCAGGAAAATCTCTCTGACTTTAAATCTTTGCCTACTGGTGGAAGAACAAATGTGTGGGATAACTTCTGCTCCTCTTTCAGACTTTTGCCCTCATGTGCTAGATATAAGCTCTGCAGCCACTGAGTCACACTTCTGATACTGTGGTAAAAGAATCCAGCAAATAAAATCCCTTGAGACCACATTGCCAAAAAGAATTTCAGCTCAGAAGAAATCTTATCAAATTGCTGATATCCTGGAGAGGCCAAGAAGGCTTTGCATGATGCAGTAGAAGCATACTAGCACATTCTCCAAGCATGAATGCACCTGCCTCCAAAAACATTTCCTGCAGTACTTTAAAAGTATCAGGCTACTTTGAAGACAGTTTATTATTATTTCTTCTAATGGAAATAAGCTTAAGTGCATAACTTGTCCAGCTGAAAATAGGTCAACACACTAATAAAATAAATAGCAAAAAGGATCTGGAGGCGAAGGCCCTGACACTAGGACCCAAGAGATATATTCACAAGGGCAGTCAGCACTACCATAGTCCTGGAAGGGGGAAGGAGAAGGACATTTCAGCCAGTAGTTTGGAAATCCAACAGAGAAGATATAGGCATCACAATTGCATTTGTAAAAGAGGAGATTGCACTGAGCCCTCAGGAGAAATATCTGAGGCTGAGAGACAGATCAAAGCTGTGGCTGAATAGATCAAAGATCTCAAAAATAAATGTGCGTGCGCAGCAAGCTGGATGGTTAACCCAAGTGAAAGCCATTTCTGAACAAAAGTTTCCTATTATGCAATCAGATATGCAATCAGATTAGCCAACAAAGCACATGGTGCTCAGAACAGAGCACTGGCAGATGCCACTGGTAGAAATTCATTATCATCTACTTCTCTATCTATAAGCACAGAAATATAAGCCTGACAGCTCTAAGGCACATGAAAGGATTAATGGAAAAATTTTTCCCAAATTGCTGGTAACTGTGTGTAAGGGGTACTCAGTTCAGGAAGCTCTCACTGAGATGTGTTGAGAATTCCAGACTTTCTGAAAAACCCTTTAGCATGACTCTGGTAACTGAACTGCTGGTCAGATTTCAGAAGCTGAGCTGAATTACTGCTTGGTAAAATACATTAGCTGCAGAGAAAGGGGCAGAGTGGAAAATTCCTTTTCTCCTTGCTCCAGTGACTATTTTACTAGTTCTCCAAAGCTGAACAATTCTGACAAAATTTTGGCTCTTCAGCTCACTGCTTTGGACAGTTCATTAAGGGCACCAAAACGCAAAATTATGTCTTTTGTGTGACTTGGACCTTGAACTTGTAACTTTCCAAGGAACTGCTCTGAATTCTGATCCATGGCAGGGTTCTACGTTCCCCCTGCAGTTTTGACTAGAATTTTCATCCTGGTGGCAAGGAAAGAGAAAGGGGGGGCTGAGGGGGAAGGCAAAGGGGAAAGGAAGAAAATGAAAAAGAAAAAAAAAAAGAAAAAAGAAAGAAAAAGAGACTTTTGAATAAATGACATGACTTTAAGATAACTGTTTACTCAAAAAATCCCAAGTCTAATAGTAGTGCAGAAAAAAGCTGTTTGGAAATAACGAATGCAGGCTAGAAGTACAAAATAAGGAAATATATCCTGCATGCTACTGGCTTGAAAATAGGTCATATCCTGCAAGCGCTGTGACATGGGGTTTTAGGTATGCAGACCAGAGAAACAGTGGGATTTTCTGTGAAATAGCCACAGTGGTGACAGTAAGAGTCAGTTCATGGTTTCACTTGTAAATATAATAAGGAGAAACCTGTACTGATGTAGGACACAACGCTTAGGTGATCTTATTTTTCAAGGATCTTCTGAAAAATAAAAGAAATGAAAGAAACAGAGAAGAGTGACAGAATGTGTTCAAGGACTTGTGGAAGCAGATTTCACTGAAAAATGCGAAATGCTCATTTTATTTACCTTATCATAGGGACACTTGAGAAGTAACCAATTTACAGTAGGCAGAATCGTCAAATGAGGGGAAAAATCTCTGTACCCTGAGGCTGACTGATCTCACAGAGAAAGGCTGAGGAGGAAGCCACAGCTAGAATCAGAAACCAGTTTAATATTAAAGGTAAGGTCTTTTTTTGAAGCTGAGATTTATTAGTCTGGAACAGAAGACAAGAGGAAGTGAATAAGTCTCTTTTATTTTCCAGACCTTGTTGGAGAAGACAGCATAATTAAATGATATTTTACAGTTTAGTTAAACATGTGTTATTGGAATCACTGGGTTTGGTGAAATGTGTTTCAATCAAATTTAATAAATGGAGGCTAGCCAAGGTGTCTTTTCAAGATGCCTTTCAGCCCTATTTTCCTGAAATGAAGGAGTTCTTCCATATTTAATGCTATATATCCCTGTTTCTAATGCAGAATAAGGAGAAATGTCTGAACAGATTAGTCTGTGTCTGCTTGCTTTACATTTATCTGCATCATATGTGGTCATTGTACTTTATGGGAACCACTAGCTTTCTTTAAGCTCACTGAACTTCACAATGAAGCTCCAATGCTTCCCTCTCTACAGTATGCCCTGTCACACAAGCCAGTGTTGCACTGATCATTGGATAGGCTTTTTTCCAAAGTACCACAGTCTAAATCATTGCAACAAGAGCAACACAGTGGGAAGAAAAAAAAAAAAGTAAATTGAAAGAAAGAAAGAAATGAACTGACCCATCTTTCTTTTCACTCAAAGACTGTCTATATATAAAATGATAGCCTATCATTCTCACTCTCCCAAGGGAAACAGACTGCCTTTCAGCACTTCTTTCTCTGAGCCTTCCTCCTATCCTTTGTATGGTTATTTGTGCTCAGCTGGTCTGACTGTGCATCTCTCTCTCCCTCCCTCCCTCCCTCCCTCTCTCTCTCTCTCTGCTGTTGCTGAACAGCAGCTCCCACTGGAATTTGCACAATCAAACCTGCTCTCATCTCAGTGAATCACATCACCTGGAGAAGAGGAATAGCAAATCGAGCCCAGTAGCCTTGCTGCTTATGGAGCATGTGATACCAATAGCACCCACCGGATGGAAGGACCCAGGTTTGTGTGAGACTCACTCAGCCTCAGACCTGCAGCTCGTGATGTGAAAGCTGTCACGGGCTTTTATAGGAGTGTGTGTATTTAGAGGACGTTTCTGTAACGTGAATAGCCTGCTGCAACTGAAGGCTGGGAAAGGCTGGTTCTCACTGCTGCTGCTGCAGTATCTGGTGCAGCAGTATGAATGTGTAAAGGGCAGCTGCCCTAGCCGTGCCGGTGAGGCTCCCATCCTCCTCTGTCTTAATTAACTGAAGGGCTACAGAGGAAAGCAGATGAACTAAGCAAGTGCCACCCTGGATCTATATGTGCACCCTTCATTGTGGAAAATGGTCAACAAAGACATGAATGGATTTCCAGTCAAGAAGTGCTCAGCCTTTCAATTCTTTAAAAAGAGGGTAAGATTTTCCTTTTATTGTTTCTTTCTTTTCACTTTCTTTTTTTGTTGCAATTATTTTGGTTTGTGTGAATGTCACTGAGGGGGGAATGTATTTTTATGCCAGTCTCGTATGCGTGGAGCTCATTGCATGGGCAGTTCAATGAAACACCAAGGGCGGTAATGCTGTGGGCTGAGGGGGAGCTGGAGATGGGGACAGGGTCCAAAAGGCATTACGTAAGCACTCTGTGCTGAGGAATGTATTTCTCGATCAGGACTGACTACAACAGGGCTGGATGCAATACAAGCAGCTATTCAGAGTGGCGTAATACAATACAAATTAGAGTGCAGGTTTGTTGCAGCTTGTCTTGCGCTCTGCCTCCTCCACATGCACCTAGGGGTACGACTCCCTCCACACCTTTCATTCACTTGCCTAAAGTGCAGCATTACCAACCTCCATTCATCATCTCACAGAGAGGGAAAAAAAAGAGAGAACAAAGAGGAGTTTGTGAACTCAGCAAAATATTCCACAGCCTGTAATTTGCCTGCAATTGCAATTAACACATGAACAAAGGTTGAGAGAGGTACACCTGGATTTTGTTTTCTATTACATTTTTTAGCTTAGACAAATATGTCAGGTTTT